CCCCCCGCGGGTTCAACTCCCCCCTGGGACGCTTCCGGTACGTGCTACAGTGCTATGTTTAGGTGGCAGGTGAAGTAGGCCACTGTTTGAGTTTGGAAGGGGGGGCATGAAACATGAAATTTACGCGAGGGTTCAAGGCTTCAATGATGAGCATCACGGGAAGTCAGAAACCAGGCGTATCAGATACACGTGCCTTTGAGCTTCCTTCGGCATCTCAGTGCATATGGCTGACACTTCACTCGACAAAGATGCTCAAACAAACATACATAAACCAGGTGTATCTGATACGCCTGGTTTGTGACTTCCCGTGATGCTCATGATGCTGCGTTGCTTTTCTTCAGTCCCTCATTACATATACATGACGATGCAACAGCAGATTCAACAAGCTCACATGTTCATGACATCGACATCGATAGAAGAAACCAAACAAATCATGCAAGCAGCTTTGTTTTGCCTCTGGGACACCTCTTGGGCACCTCTTATGGCATCCACACTGGTTCAACTCCTCCGTGGAGGTTTTGGGATACGGTGCAACAGATTCAACAAGCTCACAGGTTCGTGAACACATCGGATGCATCGAACAGTGTGGCAAAGTCCAGCCACGCTTCCTTAATTATCGGGGACTTCAATTCTAAGGTTGGCTGTGTCATTGCTGTTTGTGTGTCTTACATGTTCACAACGTTTTACCTCATGAGCATTTGCCTCACTCCGCTTGATGTCCCACCAGTCCGGATGCACCCCTGCTAGCTTTCGTCACCTACCCTCGGCCTCAAGTCGGTGTTCTTGCAGGATTTTGTTTGTGCTTGATGTTTGAGGTCTGTATTGGGGGAAACGAAACGGACAACTCTCTGCGTATGTGTGGCATCGAACGGGGACTCATGTCATTTTGTTTTGAGCGCCTCCCGGTTTTATTTTACGTTGTGCCATAGTTATATATATGTTCAAACCTGGCATCTTACTTTCGACGCAAGCTCACCTGTCCATTTGTTCAATGGCCGTCAGTCTTTGTAACCTATGCTTCAAGCAGCACTTGAGGACCACCAGGAGCATTTGAATCATGGTTGGAGGCCATTGCCATTAGGCGACCATTTGAACCATCAGTCAGACTTGACAGACCCCGAAGTCACTGAAGCCACTCTGAGGTTTACTTGCAGTGGTCAGGACCTGAGAGCCTAAAGCCGGGCAGAAGGATGCCAAAGAGACGAGAAGAAGTATGAAGGCAGTGAAGGCATGCAAGCATGAACATGGATGACTGAGAAGTCACTGAAGTTTGGGAGACTCAAACATGCCGTCAGACTTGCTTGATTGCTAACTTGAAGGGTCCAGGATTGAACCGTGGGATTTAAAGCGAACAAGGTGGGTATGTCAAGGATCTTGTGACCAAAACAAGGTGAAGGTTCCCCTTGCAGAACAATTTCCAGCTGCTAGATTCAGAGGTACCAGGTTTAATCCGCATGACACGACCCTCTTACGCTGCGCCGTTCGGAAGCAAGTCTAAAGCAATTGGCAGAAGTTGATGAAATTGATGCAACAACCAGTCACAGAGCTTGCATTTTGATCCAGAATGGAGCGGAGCTGAGTTGTTGAACGTGCTCTTCTTGCTGTTGGTTTTCTGTGCCGCCCCGAGATGTCAAGTCTCAGCTGCCACTAAAGTCTGATTTCTTCCAAACAGAAGGAACCAAGGACGCTACTAGGGGCTCCTGGCCTTACTACTAGGAGCAAGGACGCTACTAGGGGCTCCTGGCATCGCTTCTAGGAGCAAGGACGCTATTAGGGGTTCCTGGCCTTACTACTAGGAGCAAGGACGCTACTAGGGGCTCCCTTGCTGGGAGGGTGGGGAGTAGCTTCCTTGAAGAACACTTGCTCCATTGCGTCTACTAGCAACCACTAGCTGCTAGGGCGTATGGTACCCTTCCTACAACAAAAAGCTTTTTTTTTTATGACGTTCGAGACTCTGGATGTCCAGGTCTCCAATTCATGACTTGCCCTATCGAATAGCCCTTTTCCTTCAAACATCTTAGTTTCCCTAAACATCTAGAAACCAAATCATTAGTGCGTGAGCTTCTTTAAGGAAGCTCAGGCGGGGGAAGCTTCTTTGAAGAAGCGCGAGCTATCCTGCGTCCTAGCTAGGAGCTTCCTATTCCTAGTATATAGCCAACAAGTTTCTCCATTTCTCTTTTAAGTAGGCGCCTACTTAGTTAAATAGGGAGGGGGGAGAGGGCTAAGAAAATAGAAACATGTGTTTTTGCTTTTTGGTTGTTGTCGTTTTGGACGAGCCAACTCCGTCCACCCCCCTCCACCCGAGGGGTCTCGGCTCGGCTGCGGCCACGGGGCGACGAAAGTGATATGGAGTCCGACGATGAGGGCCCAGTGAGGAGGCCCAAAAAACTGCAGAGACGTGTGCAGGGACTCCTGCAGGAGCCCACGCGCACTTTAGTGGCCACTAGAGTGAGCTGAAGTCACAAAAGAATGGACATTCAAGGTGCGGAGAAGCACAAAACCGTTCGGTACCAACAGTTTGAGTTCTTTAGAAAGCATTCTTGGAAAGGGGTGAAGGTCTTGCATGCAGTCCTGGGCAAGATCAAGTGTTTCGGGTATTTTGGCTGTTGAACTCTTCCAAGTGCTCGTTGCAAGGGCATGCTTGACGCTAGCTAGATGATGCAGTCGAGACGAGTAAGCCAAGTAGAAGTAGAGATTGTGTTCTGTTGTCAGTAAGGAGCAAGACTAGCCTTGAAAACCCTTCACGGGTCCTCAACTTCCAAAGAGCAGACCCTCGTTGAAAGTGCAGAGGTTGAAATGTGGAATGAGAACGCAATTGAATCTGAGGACTCAAGGGAAACGTGTGGCCAGAACGGCAAGTAGTGATAGTTAGTCCAGAGAAATTCCTGAAGGGCCTCAATTATCATAAGCACAAGACATATAGCAATGACTTTTGAGCAGCTTTTGCTATTAGTAGCTTCTTGCTACTAGTAGTAATGCACTTGTTACTAGTAGTTTCTTGCTACTAGTAGTAATGCACTTGTTACTAGTAGCTTCTTGCTACTAGTAGTAATGCACTTGTTACTAGTAGCGAGGCGCTTTGCTACTAGTAGCTTCTTGCTACTAGTAGCGATGCACTTGTTACTAGTAGCTTCTTGCTACTAGTAGTAATGCACTTGTTACTAGTAGCGAGGCGCTTTGCTACTAGTAGCTTCTTGCTACTAGTGGCGATGCACTTCTTACTAGTAGCTTCTTGCTACTAGTAGTATTGCGCTTGTTACTACTGGCAATGCACTTGTTACTAGTAGCTTCTTGCTACTAGTAGTAATGCACTTGTTACTATATAGTAGCTTCTTGCTACTAGTAGTACTGCACTTGTTACTAGTAGCGATGCACTTGCTACTAGTAACTTCTTGTGACTAGTAGTAATGCACTTGTTACTAGTAATTAGCGATGTACTTTTTGACTAGTAGCCTTTTGCTACTACAGTAGTAGTAATTCACTTGTTGTTATAGTAAGCACGAGACATATATTTACCCAGGAATGACTTTTAAGCTACTTATTCGAGCCTGCGTCATGCATGCACTTACTTTTTGTCGAGGGTCCCCTGCGTCTCCAGTGTTGTTTCCTTTATACATGGGTCTTGAGCTGTAGCAGAATGGCACCTCGACACTTGACAAGTGGGCGTATGATTTCCAGGTTCCTGAAACAGTAGTTGACATGCCAATGACATGTCCCCCACAAGACATATTTAGGATGAGGACATGTCAAACAAAAACTGGATTTGCGTTGCCTTTCAGGACGAGCTCTTTTGCTTGTCCATCTCTTTCTTGCTGGTGCAGGCTTCCGCCTCAACAGACGCTGAGAGGGATTGAGGAAGACATTCCAAATTACACGACAAACGTCAAAATTCCCTGGGGCACAAATCATTGATTCTTTTAAAGTCCAAGAAGAGTGCGTTCTTCCGCAAATAGTCCTCAAGAATCCGCTCCCAAGCTCTAATGGCTCTAAGCCTTGTTGGGCATGCGAGGCGAAACAGCACACCAATCAGCTCCTCAGAGTCCAGAGTAGTTGTTTCCTGTGTTTCATCCCATGTTCTCACAACTGCCAGGCCCTAAGATTCCAAGCAAGCGGCGTTCTTTCTACCAAGTGCCCTGGCCGGCATCCAGTGAAAACACAAGGACTTTCATGTCAAAGCATGAACACCGTGAGTTAAACCACTGAACTGAGACACATGAGTGAGATGTTGTAGAGGACAGAAGTGTTTGCGAGTTTTTGGTGATGTAGGTTGGCTGCTCAAACTGGTGCAGTTGACAATCGTCCCTTCTTCCCGGTTGCAATCTCTTTGGCACAACAGAGACATGGAGTTGACACCAAGAAGAATGTTATTGAGGAAAAGAATACGAATCTTTAACAAGGCTTCAAAGAGTAGAATCGTCCAAAGAGCCCTAGAAAAGAAGAATACTTCATTGCAGAATTCCCTTAGAGTTTACTTCGCTCAGGGCTGGCTTGGAGCCTGGTGAGGCGGAGATGGGAATCGGGAGATCGGACACAGAAACAATGATCTTCAGCAGCGGAGGTTCATTCTTTGAGATGGCCTCCAACTCAATTGATAACAATGGTAGCAATGGCCTTCAACCTAATAGCGATGGTCTCCAACATAATTGCGATGGCCTCTACCTACTAGCGATGGCCTCCAACTTAGTAGCAATGGCCTCCAACCTACTAGCGATGGCCTCCAACTTAGTAGCAATGGCCTCCAACCTAGTAGCGATGGCCTCCAACTTATTAGCAATGGCCTTCAACCTAATAGCGATGGCCTCCAACCTACTAGAGATGGC